ACACATTCGCAAGTACCAAGAGTCAGGACTTCAACAATTCAACTCATGACATTGGATAAGGCCCTTCATCAATCCTGCCTCCCACCTAATTTGGGTTCCCCCATAAATAAGAAGGATGTTTAGAAATCGAGCAGCCAGAACACAAATGCCAATAGCAGAAGCATCAGAAAATCTTGGTTAGTACACATGTGGACTGTGTCCAACCATGGCAGGGCCACCATCATTCAGTCATTCAATTAATAAATATTAAGGGCCTGCTTTATGCCAGGAACTAGGCTAGGCAGCATAGTTTCAGTGAGGACTAAGAGAGATAAGAGCCCTATTAAAGGGCTGATATCTAGAGAAGAAGGTGAAAGCATCACACACTGATGAGTGCTATGAGGAGAAGGAGGGTTATGGTATGGCATGACAGTGTGATACTTCAGATCAGATGGCCAAAGAAGGGCCTTTTAGGAGATAAAATCTGAGCAGAGACCTAAAGGATAAGAGGAAGTAAACCATATGAAAATTCAGAACATATGAAGAGAGGAAAAGCAAGCCCCAAGCCAATGAGATTAGACAAGCTTGGTGAGTCTGAGCACAAGCATAGCTGATTCTTAATGATCTAAGAACAGACTGCTAGGATATGGGGAAGGAAAGGTGGACAGGAGCCACATACTAATGAACTGAGATTCTGCAGATTATGGTAAGGAACTCAGACTCTATTCTACACTTGGCACTTGCTTCACTAACCCTACCCATTGGTCTTAAAGCCACAGTCATCCTAATCTAACAACCAATATCTAAATCCACTAATATGGATGATATTTTCCAGGGAGAGGGTGAGGAATGAGAAGTGAATGGAAGATGGAAACCTAATGCATTAGTTAGCTATCGCTGCATAACAAGCTATCACAGAACCTAACCGTTTAAAACAACAAAATTTTTTATGGGCTCCTGTGGGTTAGGAACCTGGTCATGGCCTACCTGGGTCCTCTGGCTCAGAGTCTCTCACCAGGCTGCAGACAAGACATCAGCTGGGGCAGCTATCTCATCCAAAGCCTGGACTGGGAAAGGATATGCTTCAAAGCTCACTCATGTGGTTATTGGCAAAATCTAGTTCCTCATAGTATATTGAATTGAGGACCTCAGGTTCTTGCTGGCTGATGGCCAGAAGCTTCCTCAACTCCTTGCCACATGGACTTCTCCATTTCTGAAAGGGCAAGGAAAATAGAAACCATGGTCTCTTATAATCTAATCTTAGAAGTAGCATCCTTTAATTTTGCCATATTCTGTTGGTTAGAACCAGATCCAGCCTGCATGCAAAGGGAGAGGATTACACAGGGCATGAAGACCAGAGGGACCACTGGGGGCCATCTATAAGACTGAAGAACACTATATTTGAGGGGTAAACAGCAGACAACCAGCCAGTGAAGGATCAAGACCAGAGGCAAATGGAATAAGTGTAAAAGGGTACAAGGGAGGAGATTCAAGTTTCAGGTAGGGAACAATTTCAAATTCTACCTACAGGTCAAGTTGAATGGAATGTAAAAGAAACTGGAGGACATGAATAACTCTTGCCTGAACCATTTTTAGGGGACTGATGGGCACTAAAGCCATACAGACCAGTCCTTATTCCTCACCAACTAGCAGGGTCACCACCTTTGCAAGAGGTGACTGGGAAAAGCCAGGAAGAATCTCCTCTCCCAGCCTGGGGCTTCCCACTCTCTCCCGACACCTCCCCCAGGAAAGTGACCTCATTTCTCAAAGACAAAATTGATTCTAGGTCACATCCCTGTGGAATGAAAGACCAATTGATGTGTTTATCTCCAAGAGAAAGGGGGGCACCTACTAAAAGTAGGACCTGGTGCCCCAGAAGAGAAGACATCAGGGAACCGGAAAAGGGGTCTCTGATAATTACTTGCCAAGATTTCAGAGTGAAGGGCATCGCCACGTGAAAGCAAAGAAAGAAAAAGAAAAGAAAAGCTAGATGTTTTAGGTTTTTCTTCCTCATACATCCTGCAATTTCATTCTATTCAATCCAAGGATAGAATTCTGCTCCCCATTTTGTAATATTCATTATATAGAATAGGTGGTCCCAGCAAAGATGGCTGCAAAAAGGAATTTCTGTAAAGCAACCTTCATTATAAAAATCAAAGAGCTAATTTCACAAATACCATTCCCCACTGGCCTTAGAAATATTTGAGCTTTAGGATACTGGGAGGAGGGATACACACACACACACACACACATATGGGTGGGCAAAAGTAGGATTATAGTTGTGAGTACACAAAACACAGTTTATTATTCTTGTATTAATATTTATTATTGTATTATTTTTTATACGGACAACTGTATATCTACTTTTGTCCACCCCTGTATATGGGGGGAGGGGAGTTTAAGGAAATAGCTAGGATGAAATCAACATGTTCATAATAAATGTTTCTGGATGATAAAATTACCAGATAATTTTTATTTTCTTCATTATATTTTTCTGTGTTTTACACAATGTGCATACGTTACTTTCATAGCATAAAAACAGGCTTATTTGTTAGCTTACAAGAGGTATTTGAGTTTGAGAAATGGTAAAACAAATTTTCAGCCTTGGTTGATGTATATAAAGGTTTCTGTAACATCTTTTGAGCATTATTTCTGTTCAGTCACATGTAGTTAAATCTCTTGGAGACTGAGAGTTAGTTCCAGCCCTACTATGGTTCCTTCCAGGCATCTGCTGTGGCTGTTCAGGCTGCTATAACAGAATACCAGACTGGTGACTTACAAACAACAGAAATTTAATTCTCACAGATACAGAGGCTGGGAAGTCCAAGATCAAGGTGTCAGCAGACTTAGTGTCTGGTGATGGTCCACTTCCTGGTTCACAGATAGCCATCTTCTCACTGTCCTCACATGGCAGAAGGGGCAGTGGAGCTCTCGAGGTCTCTTTTATCCCATTCATGAGATCTCCACTCTCATGACCTAATCACCTCCCAAATGCCCCACCTCCTAATACCCTCATATTGGACATTAGGATTTAAAATATGAATTTGGAGGGGGGAGGGTCACACAAACATTCAGTCTATAGAACCTGCCAACATAAGCTGTGACCAGCAGGCTTTGAAAGTAGAGCAGAAGATGGTTTACTTATTCCTCAAACACAGACATAGTGTCAAGCGAGAGAAAAATGTCCAATATGGGCCATCAAAACTGGAAACTGGAGGTGAGTTTTAGAAGTTGAGACAAACTGGGGTTGAAAGATAAAAATGAGGAAGTGGCAGCCTGAGCAATACTTAGACAATAGTGGTATACACTGGGGTGTATTGGCATGAATGCCATGAACCAATTAAAAGCCAGAATAGCACAGACTTTTCACCACAGTCAAAATGAATTTCGCCATAGATCTATGTTAAAGCCAAAATCATCCTTATGTATGTCTGACACAAGAACACAAGGTAGTTTGGCACAGAGGTGCTTTATACACCAGGCAGCAAACCAAGACAGTGAAATCATTCAGATGGGGAAATGGAAGCACTGAATGAATAAAGCAAAGGTGGATAGTTGAGTGCAGAATGTTGTCCCAAGTAAGCTGTCTCCCTGGTTCTTTGTGAAACCCTCCCTGCATCTCCTAGTATTAGAAAAGCTCATTCATCTATTTATCCAATTAATAAAAATGAAAAGTAAGCATTTTTGTAGTGCTTAGTCTATGGTCAGCCACTGTTTAAGCATTTGACTCTTTTTGTTTGTTCGTTTTCCTTTTTTTTTTTTTTTTATTGTTAAAAGTATTATAGGTGTCCCCCTTTCTCCTCCTTTAACACTCTCTTCCCAGCTCCCTCGCTGCTCCAGCCTTCCCCAACCTAATGTCTGTGTCCATTGGTTGTAAGCACTTTACTCTTCTTAATTCATTTAATCCATGCCACAGTCCTATTATCCTAGTTGATGGGTAAGAAAACAAAGGACACAGAGAAGTCAAGTGACTTTCCCAAGGTCACACAGATGGCAAATGTCAGAATCTGGCTCTAGAATTTTGACCATGGTTTAAGGTGCCTACCAAATGCCCAAGTAAAGATGCCACTGCTGAAAGGAAACAAGGTGGAGAATTATGGGAGAGGAATGGAGAGTAGTTGTCCCTTTTTTCTTCCCCAAACTCTGACCTGCTTCCTATGTTGGAGAAATTCCCCATATGAGTTTCAGTGGGAAACAAAGTTTTTCTTCCCCCATGGAAACAGGAAGTTCAGACATGACTCACTTTCCCAGCTTCCCTTGCAGCTAGAGCATAACCACGTGGCACTGGTACAGCCAATTAGATACAGCCATCTTGGAGCTTGGGAACCAAGGAAACAAAGAAGCAGGTATGACTCAGTTGCTGCTGCAATAGCAGTGATATTCCCCAGGGACAGCAGAGGTAGCTGAGAGTTCTGCAGTAGTAGCCATGGTGTCCTCAAAGGTAACCACATTTTTTTGTATTTTTTTGGCTGTGATTCTGATGGTGAGGTCATCTTTTCTGTTTTTTGCACTAAAAATCCTGATGGGAGAGAATGAGACTTACATATAGTGCTAAGGAAAGATCCCTTGAAGATGGTGATATTTAAGCTGGGTCCGAAAGATTGAAAAGGAGCCAGCCAGAGGAGGAACATGGAAAGTAGTATGCCACTCAGTGGGAACAGCAAATTCAAAGCTTTGAAGTGGGAAAGAGTTTATCGTGTCCTAAAGACTGGACAAAAGCCCGTGTTGCTGGAGGGTAAGAAGTAACAGAACAAAACAGGTTAAATGAGGTCATCTTTCTCAAGAAGCCAAGATTCCAAACCACCTCTGCCAAGTTACAAAGCTCCATCTAACGCCTCCCTGTCGTCTTTCCCCTCCCCCACCTCTGGAACTCGGTCTGTTCTCTTGTCTCCATGGTCATTGTGATGAGCAATCTGTTTCACTCACTCTTCAGGCCAGGAAGGATATTCGTGTAGTTGGGTGTCCCTTCCTCTCTTCATGGAGGACATGACACGGTCAGGCCAGGTCACCAAGTAGGGACCATGTCCAGGTTGATACCCCCGGTTGAGCACAAGCAAAACACGCGCGTTGGGGCTCCAGAATGGCGCGAGGCAGCCCAGGCCAAGATGCGGAAGGCACGGCGGCTGACCAACCGCTGCGGGCAGGAGGCGGTGACCATGTGGCAACCCAAGGACAGTGTGTGGGACCCGCATGTGGCGCGCCACCTCCGCCGGGCTGCCTACATTCAGCCCTGGCGCTTCCAGGTGGAGATGATCAAAGGCGGCAGCACCTTGGAGAAGCCGCCGCCGGGCGAGGGCGTCACGCTGTGGCGGAGCAAGATGAAGCCGCCGGCTTGGCACGCTCGTCTGCCGCTGCCCCTGGAACGCGACGCGCGTGCCCAGCAGACCGCCGAGTTGGTGCATGCGCACGCGCGAGGAGCGCGCCTCACCGCCGCCCGCCTAGATCACGCGCAGCAGCAAATCAATGGGCAAGTGCGGCTGCTGCTGCGCCAACGTGAGGCTACTGACCATAGGCTCAGCGAGGTGCGCAAGGGCCTGCTGATTAACCAGCAGAGTGTCAAGCTTCGGGGCTACCGGCCCAAGTCTGAGAAGGTGGGACCCCCACGCCGGATCGCCAAGACTGAAGCCTTAGCTCAACCTGGAAAAAACCCGCCCCGTAGAGAGAATACCCATCTCAGGCCCCAGTTCCAGTGAGTAGGGCACAAGAGGATGAGGACACCCGCAAGATAAGGTGCCTTGGTCCTCAGACCCAGAGAGCGAGATCCTTCCATGGGGATGACATTCTCAGCCCCCTTATCCCAGATGGGAGATGTTTCCCAGTCCCCTATCCAAGGAATAAAGATGGGACCCTAGAGTCAAACTAGATAAAATTCTTCCCAAAGAGTGAAACCCAGAACTCCAACCCAGGTATGCAATCACCCACCCAGTCCCCAGACACTGGCTGAGACTTTCCTGTGGTCATGAGACCTTCAATGCCCAAAGAAATACCCAGCTAAGAAGAGTAGGTGATGTCCTGGTTCCAACCCAAGAAACTCTCCTCAAAATGTTAAAAACAAACAAACAAAAAAACCCCATCTCTTCCCAGCCTCAGTGAGTGAGAAACTCTCCCCAGGCCACATGGGGGGTTAAAGGAAAAAGTCCTGCCTACAGGTTGAGACCCTCAGGCCCCCAGCCCCTGCACCCAAGTGTTAAGCCCTGCCAGGGAGAAAGAGTGAGAGCCCTTGTGAAATCTTCTTCCAAAGTGAAACCCTAGCCCAGCTGGTGTGGCTCAGTGGTTGAGCATCGACCATCAAGAGGTCGCCAGTTAGATTCCCGGTCAGGGCACATGCCCAGGTTGTGGGCCCAATCCCTAGGGGGAGGGCATGCTGGGGGTGGCCAGTCGATGTTCTCTCTCATTGATGCTTTTATCTCTCTCTTCCTCCCTTCCTCTCTCTCTAAAATCAATAAAGTAAAAACAAACAAACAACAACAAAAAAAAAAAAAAGTGAAACCCTAGACTTGCACCCCACAGTGGGGACATGCCAGCCTCCTGGGGAAGGAAGGGAAGAGACCCCACTCACAGGGTGGGATTCCTAGTTCCAGCCCCTAAATTCAGAGAGTAAGACCCCAAAAAGGCAAGCTCTCATCATCCGTATAGTGAAATTCCTCACTTCTAGTCAGGGAAGTAGGGGATAAGACCATCACCAAGGGAGGAGGACCCCAGCCCTGGAGAAACCTTCCCCCAAGGTGAAACCATGATCATCCCAGCTCGCTGGACTCTTACCTGTAAAAGGGAGACACCCCAGCTTTACTTTCTAGCCCCCTGAAAGATAAAGACTTCTCAGAGAGACTCCCACAGGGTGGGAGTGCCCCCAACTTCATTCTCCAAACCCAGAGATTATGAGTTTGGCAAACCTTCTACCACCCTGGAAGGAGAACTCTCCTGTTGGCCTTCTCCTGAGAGTGTGAGAGTCTCTGCTTACTTTCCAGGTCCCTGATAAAGCTGACAGTATGCTTACCTGGGAGAAAGAGGAGTTAAAGAACATGAAGAGGAAAATGGAGAAAGACATGGAAAAATCAGAGGCCATGCTCAAGGTCAGGAATATCTGGGACCCAGTGAAGAGTGCTGGAGGGGTACCCCAGACTGCCTAATGAGTAAACCGCTCTGATCTTGGGGACTAACAATAACAAACCTCTCAACCCACCCACCCATTCACCCTGACTTGACATTCAGTATATTTCTGCTTTGCTCTGAGGGATAGAGTTGGGCCTCAGAATAACAATGAACACCCTCTCTGTGCCAAGCCTTGTGCAGTCATTAAGTTAGCTCCTTGAAGCACTCCTGTGAAATAGAAACTGTGGTCCCTAATTGGAGATGGGGAAGTTGAAGCTGAGAGAGAGATTACCTCACCCCAGGCACAGGACTAGGCAGTAGCAGGATTGTGGCTTCAAGCCAAGTATCTTTTTTTCCAGTTTTAGTGAGGTATAATTAACAATTTAAAATTGTACATATATTTAAAACCTGAGATTTGATATATGTATACATTTTGAAATAATCACCAAAATCAAAGTACACCACCTCACGTATCCTGCATAGTGAGAACACTTAAGATCCACCCTCTTAGTAAATTTCAATTAAAAAATACAGTATTGTTAGTATAGTCACATAGTTGTACATTAGATCTTCAGAATTTACTAATCTTGCATAACTGAAACTTTGTACCCCTTGACCAACATCTCCCCATTTCTCCCTCCCCGCAGCCTCTGGCAACCACCATTTTACTCTTGGCTTCCATAAGTATGACTATGTTAGATTTCATATATAAGTGAGGTCATGTAGTATTGGTCTTTCTGCATCTGGCTTATTTCACTTAGCATAATATCCTCCAGGTTCATCCATTTTGTCACAAATGGCAGGATTTTCTTCTTTTTTAAGACTGAATATATTGCCCTGACCAGTTTGGCTCAGTGATTAGAATGTCAGCCCACGGACCAAAGGGTCGCAGGTTTGATTCCTAGCCAAGGGCACATACCTTGCAGGTTCAATCCCTGACCCCAGTTGGGGTCGTGTGGGAGGCAACCAATTGATGTGTTTTTCTCACATCAATGTTTCTCTCTCTCTCTCTCTCTCTCTCTCTCTCTCTCTCATCTATCTCCCTCCTCCTCCCTCCCTTCCACTCTAAAAATCAATGGGAAAATAACCTCAGATAAGGATTTACAAAAAAAGAAATAAAGAAAGACAATATACTTATATGCTTTATATTATAATGATGAAAGTGGGATTTGGATGGGGTGAGGGTCCAGATGGGACAGATCGAGGGACTCTGAGAACTGCAGAGGGCTCCTGATACTGATAAGAGAAGAGGAAGGGAGACTCTGAGGCTAGAGATGGGGTGAATGCAAGTTGGGGGGGAAAGGGACGGCACAGGAAGATGGAGATGTGGGAATAGCCATTGCTACCTCTCCACTTTACAGATGGGAAAATTAATGGGGAAGGGCTTTCTTGGGATGCCCTTGGGATGCCAGGGCAAAGCCAGACACAGAACCTAAGCAATTGACTCCCAGGACAGGGAAGCTGCCACCAGCCCCTACTGCTCCTCCTCTCCCTACTTCCAGGGGTCATTGAAGGCTTCTGTATGGAGGGTGAGAGGGTGGGGTATCTGAGCTTTGACTTGGAAATCGCTTCTTTTTGGCTGCTTCTAGAACTGGGGAGGGCAGTTCAGCAGCAGAAACGCCCTGCAGACCCCAGAAGAAAAATCAACTCCAGCTACCACCCCCACCCTCCCAGCACACTTTCTGCCTTCATCTCTGCCTCTCTCTCCTGCCTTACCCCCAGACCCTGGCCTCCTGCCGCAACACTCTGGCCTTCTGCGGCAAGGAGAGGCTCCAAGCTGTGGACTTAATGAATAAGCCACTGGACAAGGTTCTGAAGCTGGCTGGCCGCCACTCTTGGGTGAACCTCTCCCGCGCCCAAACCCCAAGCACTCTGGGTCAGAAAACACCGCCTCCAGACCCCCTGGGGACGTATCCACCAGGTAGGCAGGCATGGAAAGGATCCCACTGCCCTGGCCGGTTTGGCTCAGCAGTTGGAGCGTCCGCCTGTGGACCAGAGAGTCCTGTGTTCAGTTCCCGCTAGGCCCTAGTGGCTAGGGGCATGCACCAAAAGAAAAAAGAAAAAAGAAAGGAGCCCACTGTAGTGGGTGCCCACCGGCTCCTCTCCATTTCGCAGCTGCCCCTCTTCCTGGGGAATTGTCCCCCTCAAATAAGAGGGCTGAGAGCAAATAAGAGAGCTGAGAGCCAGCATCCAGCTGAACACACGTTCTGGAACAGTTCTTCACAGTTCTTCACCCTGCACTCTCTCACTCCCAAAGGCTGCTCATACTCACCCCACTAACAGCCCCTTCCCTAGACCTTCTCCCAGTACCTCAGTAAAGCCCCCTTGCCCACGGCCCACCACCACATAACATTAGAGAGAGGGACGCAGAGAGCCAGGATGAGGGAAAGGATGGCTTGACACCCCACACCCATTCCACTCTCCTGCAGAGTGCGCCACGGCGCTGTATGAAGCCAAGCGACTGTTGATGGAGTCCAAGGACACCTTGCAAGAAATGGCAAAGAACGAGGAGGACATCCGGGAACAACAGCAGCAGATAAGGGATCACGTGTGTGCCTCACTGGCCCAAAAGATGCGCGAGACCACTGAGCTAAAGGTGCGCTCGTGTGCAACCCAGAGGCAGTGGCTGGGGGTTAATGGATAGTACCAAGGCCGGAGAAGGAGGAGACAAGAAGAAGGGGGACAGGAAGCCAGCGTGATCTCCCTGCACTCCCACCCACCCAGGAAAAAATGAACATGACCTTAGGACTAATGAGGGGAACTATCCACCGGTGCACGAAATTCAACCAGGAGATGTACATCACCCGCGGCCTCATCAAGGTATGCTTTGGGGAAAGGGTCTTCGGGGAGGAAGCCAGAGATGCCCCTGTAGAGTGTGCCTCACTGTCGGCACACCGCACTTCGTCAGGGTCCTCTGTCAAAAAATCACCTGGAAACTCGAGAGAAGCTGGACAGACCCCTGGTTCGAGTGTACCAGAGACACGTGGGTACCCAACTCTCTGAGGCCGCGCGCCTCGCTCAGGTACGTCCCTCTGGTTCCCCTTCTGCGTCTCCCAGCCCTCTGTAGGTGCAGCCCCGCCCTGGTTAGACTTTTTCCTCAAGCATACCTGGCCCAGGTAAGATTCTCTCATCCAAGTTTGTCAGTCCTTCAACTACCTCCCAAATGAGTCCCGCAAATAGTTCTCCTTTCTCAAATAAGTCCCCTCAACCTCTGTCCACTTCACCCTGCCCCACTCACTTATGACAGGACTCCTCTCAGTATCGTCCTAAGGAGGTTCCTAGAACACTTTGCCCACATGCTTGCCCTCCTCCCAGGTCCCATTCCTCCTTCAGCCCCGCCCTGTAGTCGGTTCTTCTTCTGGACCAGGTGTGTCTTCCCGGATGCCATGTGAGGCCCTCCCCTCCTCGGCTATGCTCCTGCCCAGGCAGGGCCCTTCAGTATGCACACCTGGCCCAAGCACGCCCCCCCCATCCGAGGCCCACAACTTCTTCAGCTGTGCTCCTTTCACAAGCACATGTGGCCCACATGTGTCTGCCCACCTCTCCCTGTTCTGACTCCCCTTAGCCAGTCCCCCAGCATGGCCCCACCCCCCTCTCCAGGGCACTGACAAGCTGCAGCGCCACATCTCACACGTGGAAAAGAACCTGGAGGAGCTGCTTGCCACGCAGGAAAAGCTCAACTGCAGCCTCCACTGCAAGAAGACTGGACATGACGTGGACTACAACGTGGTGCGCCTGCGCCTCCGCCAGCAGCACCCGCACGTGTACTACCAGCAGGCGCAGGCCCTGGTCAACGACTGGGACCCGCCCACACCGCCTCCACGCAAGTAGTCTAGCAGCACTGCCAAGTAACAGCATACACCAGGACCCCCATCAGCAAGCCCCACTTGCTCAGGTTGAGCCCTCGGAAACTCACAGCCTGGTGACCCTCCTTCTCCCCTGACTCACCCTCCCTCCAAGCACCCTCTAGCAGAATTATAAATAAAAATAACAATTAAATTTATTAGACATCTACAGTACGTCAATCACTTATCCTACAGTATATTATGGGCAGTGTAACCTAGAAGTCAACTGGATGGATTATGGTGCCAGGTTTCTGGGGGTTCAACTCCAGGCTTTCCAAGCTATGTTGCCTTAGGCAAATCACTGACCCTCTGTGGTCTCAATGTTTCTACAGGTAAAATAGGAAGAATTACAGCACTCATCTCAAAGATATGTAAGGATAGATGCATAAAACCTGTAGAATGGTGACTGCATATGCAACATCCTCAATGCACTGAGTCATTATTATCCTCATTTTCCAGTTGAAGTTAAGCAGCTTCCCCTTGAAGCCCTCTCTAGTGGAGGTTTATTCTCCCAAACCCCAAGCAGCTCAAGTGGAAAGTTGGGCTTGAGTTCCACTGCCCATTGCTCCATTTATCTGGGATTTGGGGGACAGGGGTACTGCTCCTTCAAAATTCATAGCATCCTTCTTTTTTTTCTTTCAGTTTTCTGTTTGTTTTTTATTTTGTTTTGTTTTTCTTTATTGATTTTATTTTTTTATAATTTTTATTAATTTATTTTTGTTACAGATGTTTCTCCTTTTCTTCCCCATTGATTTGTTTTGTGGGGTTTTTATTTTGTGGGTTTTTTTTGAGCCCCTACAAGTTCCAGGTTCTGAGCCAGGGCACTGAGAGTGCAGCAGTGAGCAGGACTAACATGGTCTCTGACCTCAGGGAGCTCACAAGTAGATCAAGTGCAGCCAACATCATCCATTGGGATGCAGCTGTGTGGCATGGCCTCTTATGGGAAGCCCACCTACCAACTGCAACCACCCATCTAATTTCACATCTCTGTTCTCCTAGCCTCTTGAACAACCTTCCATCACAGAACTCGTCACACCAAGCTGTGATAATCATCTGTTCTCTCTCAGGGTGTGACATACATAGGATAGAAGGTGTTCATTCAAGCCACAAATATTTCCTAAGCAACTGTTCTCCACCAGAGGCTGTGTTCAGTGCTGAGGATACAGTGAGGACCAACACAGACATGGTCCCTCCCTTGTGAAACTGACCATGTATATGCCGAGAACAGCCCTCATAAATATTATCTTCTTGGCAAAGCCAACCAGTCAAATGGACACAACATAGCCCTGCCAACATTTTACAGAGAAGGAAATGAAGTTCAGGAAAGTGAACTCAATTGTCCAGGGTCACAGAGCTAGAGAGGAACAAAGTGGGACTAAACCTGGGTCTGCACTCTCCCTTCTCCACTCTGCAAGCATCAACCATGGGCTCACCATGATCTTCACTGGTCTCTATAACAACCAACTGAAGATGGGGTCAATTATGCCCATTTGACAGGAAGTACAGAGAAAATAAAGAGCTGCCTACCCAGGATTACAGAGATGAGAAGTAGGGCTGAGGGGTTCAAATTAACCATCTCTGACTCAGAACCATTAGGCATCACAGCCCACTTTCTTATCTCAAGAGGGACTTTACAGTCTGAGGGTCACCAGGGACTCCTGAAGGTCAAGAACGTTTTTCCTCTGTGTACCAATCAGGATACCAACAGGAAGCAGCACATGGAATTTGAAGGAAGTTTGACAAAGAGATAATAGTTGATCCTCATTATTTGAAGATTCTGCATTGACTAATTTGCCTGACTCACTAAAATTTATTCATAACCCCCAAACCAATACAGTGGTGCTTTCATGGTCATTTGCAGATGTGCACAGGACAGTGAAAAACTTCAGTGGCCCAACATGGTCAAACAAGCCAGGGTCAAACAAGGTGATGCTCTGCCTTGCTTCAGCTGTCCCTATTTAAACAAGCATCCAAATGGCATATTACTCAGCCTTTAAAAAGAATGACATCTTGCCACTTGCGACCACATGAATGGACCCAGAGTGTATCATGCTAAGTGAAATAAGGTAGAAAGAGAAAGAGAATTACCATATGAATTTACCTATATGTGGAATCTAAAAAAAACAAAACAAATGAATAAACAAAACAGGAACAAATTCATAGATACAAGAGAACAAATTGATGATTGCCAGAGGGAAGGGGATGGGAACTAGGCAGACATGTGGAAGGAGTTAAGTACAACTTTCCAGTTATAAAATAAGTCATGGGGATGTAACATACAGCATGAAAAATAGTCAATAATAACTACGGTGACAGATGGTTATTAGGCTTTTTGTGATCACTTCATAAGGTATATAAAATGTTGAATCATGTGATACACCTGAAACAAACATTATTATATGTCAACTATAATTTTTTTGAAAACCAAGCATCGTTTTCAAGGTCTACTTAGTGCCATGTTTTTCAGCATTTCTGTTCTTATAATTGGTGATTTTGCTGTTTAAAATGGCCCCTTAGCATATATCTGAAGTGCTGTCCAGTGTTCCTTAGGCAAAAAGGCTGTGATGTGCCCTACAGAGAAAATGTCTGTGTTAGACAAGCTTTGTTTGGACATGAGTTATAGTGTTGTTGGCCTTGAGTTAATGCTAGTGACTCACATTAATATATATTTTTAACAGTGTGTATTAACTAAAGTATCTTTAAACAGAAACACATATAAAACAAGGATATGTATTGATCACTTAACAAAAATGTGACCAGAGGCTCGCAAGAACCTATCCCTTATATTTCCCCTGGTAGCAATGGTTGCCTATTTGAACAACTTTATAGACTATAATGACAGTGAATAATGAGAACTGTCTATGTTTGTAAATGAGTAGGTAGGATATAGGGACAGTTCTAAGATGCTAATTATTGTGGGGAGCCACCTTTGGCTTTGGTAAGTCTGAAGGGACAGGGTAGTCAGAGCAACCAGCCTTGCAATGCTGCTGAGTGGATGTCTCTACACCCTCTCTCTCCATTATTCAGTGTTCCCTACTGTTCACAGCCAGAAAGAAAGGAAGCCCTTTGGTGTACTCCACATATCCTTCCAGGACAGAGCTGCCTCTGCCCGGCTGACTTTTGAGCCTCTTGCATGTCCTTTCTGGGGCTGAGGTTTGTCCCTTTGCCTACATCTTTGTCCATCCATTCTGCCCAGAAACCTCACATGGGGATGCAATGCCTTATCCTCTGGGTTGAATCTGCCACCCTCATTCTTGATGATACAACCTGTTTGTCACCCCAGTCACCCAGTGTTATCCAACAGAGTTTGCAAAACCCCCTTGGTTGCTTCAGAGCTGAGATTTCAGCTGCTGGCCCAAGCTGAGTCATGGGCACCCAGGGATCCTCTCAGTTACACCATAAGGTGGGTGTCATCATCCCCACATGACAGATGAAGAAATAGGCTCTGAGCAGCCTCAAGTGAAGGGTTAAGTCTGGGCTTTAAAAAGTGTGGGGAGCCCTGGCCAGTTTTGCACAGTGGTTAGAGCGTTAGCCTGTGGTCCAGAGAGATCTGGGTTTGGCTCCCGCTAAGAGCATGTACCTCGGTTGTAGTTTGTACCCGGCCCTGGTTGGGTCATGCGGGTGACAGCCACTCAATGTGTCCCTTTCACATCGATGTTTCTCTTTTTCTCTCTCTCTCTCTCTCTCCCACTCTATCTGAACAAAAAATGAGAAAATGTGCTCAGGTGAGGATAAAAAAAAATTTTTTTTAAGTGTGGGGATGCCCCCACATGAGGATACACCACTGCCCCCCAAAAATGGTCCAGGCACCATCCTCCTGAGAACACTTCCTGGACCACCTTCCAGACCTACAGAATCTGAATCCCAGGGGGCAGAACCGAGGGCTACGCATTTCTAATGAGCGTCCCCGGAGAGTCTAATGCAGGCCAATTTTGAAATGCATTTCCTGGAGGAAATATGGGAACAACTGTAATAGTGTCAACAATAAAAAGAAAGAAAAAAGAAGAAATGCATTTCCTCCCTGCTGCCATCTTCCCAGGGCCAACTTCTGCACCAGCCACAGAAGACATTAATGGAGGGGCTTACAGAAATGTTTTTTATTTTAATTTCTTTTAAAGCCAGAAGAAACACAAATATATAATATGTAACTATATTTTTATATTATATACAATAGTTTATGTCTATATAATTATACAATTATATACAATAATAATTGTATAATACTATGAATATTAAAATTAAGATTATTGCCCTGGCCAGTTTGGCTCAGCGGTCAGAGCACCAGCCCACGGACCAGAGACCCGGGTTTAGTTCCTGCTAAGGGCACATACCTTAGTTGCAGTTTGTCCCCGCCCCAGATGGGGTCATGTGGTGGCAACCAGTTGATGTGTCTCTCTCACATAAATGTTTCTCTCTCTCTTCCCCATTCGTTCTCCTTCCTGCTCTATCTGAAGATAAATGCAAAAATATTCTCAAGTAAGGATAAAACAAACACACACACAAACAAAAAATTAAGATTATTAAAATGATAATTCTGGCCCCAATTATATTTATCTTTATACCAATGCAGTTTTTATCAATATATTTAATTGTGGTAAAATACACATAACATAAAGTTCACCATCTTAAGAGGTTTTTAAAAAATATGTTTTCATTAATTTTAGAGAGAGAGAGAAGGGAAGGGAGAGAGAGAGAAACATTGATGAGATAGAAACATCAATGTGAGAGAGAAACATCAATTGGCTGCCTCCTGCACGCCCCCTACTGGGAATCAAACCTGCAACCCCGGCATGTGCCCTGGGAATCCAACCAGTGACTTCTTGGTGAATGAGATGACGCTCAACAAACTGAGCCACACTGGCCAGGGCTTAAGCATTTTTAAGTGTCCAGTCTATTGGCATTAAACACATTCACACTGTTGTGCAGCTGTCACAACCATCCAGCTCCAGACATCTTTTCATCTTGCAAAACTGAAACTCTGCCCAT